GCATAGAATGTACCATTTTATTTTATCTGACTGTCAGAATAGATAAACTGATTGTTAAAGTAATCGCTAAACATCTTATCAAACGTGTCTAAGAGTCAATAGCTGCTGAAGCAGCTGATACAATTCAACATAAAGGTCATAGATAACATCATCACCATCCCCACATCATGATGCTGCCATTATCTAACTGTGGTAATGGAGTTTTCTGTACTGAATACAAATTCATGATATTTTATACACATTTCTAAAAAGAAAATTTCTGGACACCTGTCAGGTTTTTAGTAACTTGATTCAGTCTCAGACTTTTTTGTCCTTGTGTCTTTTTGCAGTGTACCTCCAGTGTTTGCACTGCACTTCGTGGAGGGGCTTCCTCACAACAACGTCAGGAACTACGCCTTCAGCTTCAAGTGGAAACGCTACTCAGTGACTGCCGTTATCCAGTACAGCCAACAACTCAAGCACTTCATCACCTGGATTCACAATGAGGATGGTTGGTGTTAAAGATTAGTGGTTGTCTAGAAATCTGAAGGTTGCGAGTTGGATTCCAACTCACATTTGTGATTCTTATATTGTCTTTGTATTTCTACATGCATCTAGTTGTCCACCTAGTGAGTCTCTCATGTTGTTTATCCATTTGCCCTTTAATTCCATCATTCATCTATTTTATCAGTCATTGATCTGTCTATCTGTTGATTCATTCATTCATTCCCCCATCTGGCCTTTGGTCCTTGTATCCACTAATTTTGTTTTTTGTTTTTAAATTCAGTTCTTTTACACTCTAGATTTCTGTTGTTGATGTAGTATTTTAAATGCAACATCTCCAGAGAGAGGCTGTTCTTGCTGTGTGCTTCCTGTCAGCTGGTTGAAAGAAACCTACACATTTCCCGACCTAAAAATATCCTCCAAATTCAACTGTTTGTAATTACTTGGTGTTGCAAAAAAAAGAAAGAAAAAAAAAAACCCTGATTTCTCTTATTACACAAACACTAATTTACAGCGAAGGTTGGCGAGCTTCGAGTGGCTGACTGCAGGTCGACCACCCACCCAACTAATTTAAATGCTACTGGCTTATTACGCTCCCAGATACTCCGTAAAGAGCAGAACAAGGAACTGGTATAATAGTGTGCACAATAACAAAAGTTTAATTGAAACTTTGGTTCAGTTTTGTGGCTCTTTCTTTGCACTTTTTGCGTAAGTCTGTATCAGTTTAATACATTATCAACCACATGGCTTTTGTTAATTCAGTCTTTTTCAGTTCTGGTCCTCAGGCCCCTCTGCCCTACATGTTTTAGGTGTTTCTCTTCTGCCACACACCTGGATTGAATCTGGTTGATTAGCAGCCTTCTGCAGTACTTGTAATCATTTGGATCATCAGCTGTTCTGGAATAAAGACACATCTAAAACATGGAGAGCTGAAATTGAGAAGCACTGCGTTAATTTAACCTGACCCATGTCTAATTGTCATGTTTGTTCCTTCAGGATCATGGCTGGAGTATGATGATTTAAAACATGCTTGTGAGACCCACCAGCAACTGCAGATCCCTGCTCAGGAGATCCATGTTGTCTTCTGGGAGGAGGAAGAGGAGACGCTGTCATCCTGCTCTCTGTCCAACGTGTTGCTAGAACCGCCTTCAGTTGATATTGAAGCGGTTCCCAGTTTGAAAGACTTGAGCTCAGAAGAACTACCAACCCAGACTCTGGATCAGTCTTTTCTTACCTCTCACAACGACACCGATATCGTCTGCGCTCTGTCAGGAGACTGCGGCGCCACAGCTGATGTCAACACATCGATAGGTGCCTCCACCCTGCTTGACACCTTTGAGGGCCTTACACACGATGATTTAATCACACTCACCCTGGTGGAGTTCCAGCCTGATTTGCTTAAATCTGAGGTGCAACCTGTAAAGGAAACCCAACAAGCAGAAGACCAGAGTAGTCCTGTGACAACTGAAAATGTAATTTCTTCTTTACCGGACAGCTCCGTCCCTGCGGCAGGGGGCAACAATGATGCCCAGTCTGGTCCCAGTGAGTCAGAGTCGTTGGACAACTTGGTGAGTGATCCCACGTTTGTACCCAATGCAAAAAAACGACGAGGTAGACCACCGAAACTTAGGAAAACTGTCGGGAGGCAGAAAGGTAAAAAAGCAGCTTTCTCCAAAGATCCTCCGCCTGAATCCTCTGAGACACCCGAACCTTTGGAGCCACCCGAATCCGTTTGCCCTCCTCAAAGTGACACAGCTGCTGTTCCAGAGCAGACATCCTCGGTGTCTTCTATTAACAACTCCCCTCTGCTCTTGACTCAGAAAGATCGCTGGTCTTACATTCTAAGCAGACACCCTGCTAATCAATCTTATAAAAACATTTCACATCCTCCTCCCACACAAAATGGCGTAATATCTGAAGTGAAGCCACCTCATCCTGTTCACTCCACTCCCAACCCGGTGAAGAAGCCCCCGGTTCCTGCCAGAGTCCCCAGACATCCGCTCAGTACAGAAGAACGTACGGGTCTCCCACCAAAAGCTGCAGAGATGTACGGTGGTTTTGGTGCAAAAAATCCCAACCCTGTCATTCCTCTTCCATCCTCGTTACCTCCAGCTATCCCGTCTAACCATGTGACAGCACCTGTCACATGGACGTCTAGTCCGTCTCCTCAGCTCACTGAAATATCTTCATTTAAAACACCGGGAAGCTCAAAGGTTTCTTCAGGTCTGAGTGACACTGAAACCCTGAGATACAAACTCTTGAAGAAGCTTAAAGCTAAGAAAAAGAAGCTGGCAAAGCTGAACCAGCTGCTGGAAACTAGAGGAGGGGCCCACCTCAGACCGGACAGCACCAACCTCAACTCTCCAAGCACCGTGAGCTCCAGCATCTGTGACGGCTCTGACCTGTTGTCCCCGGCCACGACAGCCAGCAGCTTTTCCCCGGACAGCACTGGTTTCCTGGAGATGTTGGTTGGCGAGCAGAACGGGGCGAACCAGCTGGACTGTGTGGTCAGCGGTGTCGGAGCTGTGACTCCCACCAACTATCAAACAACTCAGCATGAAGATCACAACTTCCTGGAGGAGTTTGAGTTTTTCTCACATTTCTTAAGCTGACCGACAGAGATTGAAGACGTTGGTGCACTTTAGCTTTTTACTTTTCATTACACTGAATGCTACAAGCACAGTTAACTGTGAAAACATAAGATGGTTTTGTACGCTGACTCGCCTGTTCATTTACGTAGGAGTCCTTATGTTTGTCTATGACTACAATTTTACAGCAAATAAACTCGATCACAATTTTTTTTTTCTGTAATTTGTATTTTTTTCCTTTACCTTTTTCGAACATTGTGCTTTGTTGTTCTTGTGTATTGTATGCAAAAAGATCACAGAAGTCTGGTTAAAGGTTGAAACATTTTTTATTTTTTTTTACAAGTGACTTGAAGCTGAGAGGTTTTTAATGCCATTAAAAAAATTCCAACTTGTTCATTTGAAAATGACTAACCTTTGGCCAACTGTTAATGTAATAAAGTATTTATACTGCTTTTGATTTGAGTTGCATTTACTTTATAATCCAGTATACATACAGTGTTCATGAACGAGTTAAACATTCAGAAGTCTCTGACGGTAAGAGACCACTTTTGTGCCACTTTTGATTCAAGTTGATATGAAATCTGCAGAATAAAAAGCGGACAGTAAAAATGTCAAGTTCCCATACCGGGAGTCGAACCCGGGCCGCCTGGGTGAAAACCAGGAATCCTAACCGCTAGACCATATGGGACCTGGTTGAACACCATCACAAGGAAAATCTTCATATATTCTGGGGTCCATTTTTCCACTGCACCAAGAGTAGTATTTTCAATGCGACAGGTCAGGAGTAGGTCGTCGGTTTTCGCCTTTTAGATTTCATTTCGGTCCGGGCTTCTTTGTCAGTCTTATCCAGACACTTCCCTTCATGTGGTGGGATTTATAATATAATAGGTATTCATTCAAGAAGAATTTGCAATTGTGTATGAAACTTAAATTTATGTTGAAAAATGATGAGATGCGTTCATTACACAGTAGACAATGACAAGGCTGTTTAAAAACAGGAAGAACAAAGGAAGCCGTTTTTCCACACGCAGGCGCTGTTTGACTAAAATTAAAGCTAAATCATCTTACTGACGCAGCTCACTTCTTCATTACTTTTGTATGAATTACATTTCGATATGTAGTCAATATGACATTCACAAATGTTCAAATTATTCTGGCTCTGCAACCACGCTGCCTTGAAAAGTCAACTAATTAACTTTTAAAGCCTCACAGGGTTGTTAGAGAATATTTGTGAAGAAACGGAACACACCACACAGGTAAAGCTTTTAAATCGTGGTTAGGTTACAAAATAACTTCCAACATTTCACAGTGCACTCATCAAACCGTCATCTCAAATTAGAAAGACCATGGCATAACTTCCTGGGACATGGCAGTCCACCTAACCTGACGAGCTGGGAAAGGATGATTTTAATAAGACAAACAAGCACCATACAACTCAAGTTTAAGAAACTATTAGACATGCAGAGTGGAGGAAAAGTTGATGAAATCCTTATTTTCCTAAGCCAGCCATGTAGGAGGCATCTCAAGCAAGGGAATTTATTTGCATCTTTTACTTCTATTTCACAAAGTATTTTTGAATTGAATTTAATTTCCAAAATAATTTCCTTTTCTGTCTTGGTTGACCAGATGTAGAGAAACTACCTGTAGTTCCTCTACATATAGTAAAGGAACGAAATAGACATAAAACCAACGGACCCAACATGACTCCTGCCAAGTAAATATAATCACTATTCTCCAGAAATTTCACCAAAAATAAACATTATCTCCCATGATGGGAACAAAATTTGCAAAGGATGAATAATAAGCATGAACTTCTGACACAGGAACACAAACATACAAGCAGACACACAGACCTTTGTGTTGAGCCAGAACATCATTTACATAAAGAGGAAGGAAGAATCTTTGTGTGTTTGTTGGAGGTGCAATAGTAGCAATAAGAGAAGCATCTGTGTGTCTGAATTCAAATAAACGTTCCTGAATGTGAAAGAGCAGCGTTGTTCTCCCCAGCTTCAGAGACCATCCAGCTCTTACGATTTTGTCATGGAGTCCAGCAAAGTGGTGGAAAATATCTACCTGCTGGTCATCGTCACACTCATCAGTGTTCTTCAGAATGGTGAGATAAAGACAATGGTTTTTAAGAAATTTTAAAAACAATTTTCCAAACTGCGTAACAGTTTTCTGTTTGTGTTTTCAGTGTTTTTTGCTCAAAAGGTTGAAAGAGAATGCAAGAATCGTAACACGAGCACGTCTGCTTTTGAGCGAGTGTCTTGTGCAAAGTGAGTGCCCTTTTCTTATCTCTTAATTTCTCTGAAGACTGAAACCAGAAGTACAGTAAAATGTCCCTTGGTCAGTTTTAAATTTAATTCAAATTACTCCAAATATTACCCAACACTGGAAGACTGTTCCTAGTTTCCTAAACTAAATGATGTAAAAAAAAAAAAAAAAAATGCCAGTAAATAGCTTGTAAATAGCCAGTAATTTACAAACAACCTTTATTACTTTGCTTTTTATGAAAATAAATAATATTTTTGTTTAAAAAGTACTCATGCAATATGCTTAGTTTAAAACTTGTTTTGGCTTTGGTTCAAAAAACTTAATTTGCATTCTCAAATATCTAATTTATGATAAGAGCTTAATTAAAAAGAAGTTTATAACATTAACAAAACTTGAACTAGATGAAAATCCTGTTTAGGAGATTATTATTTTTTCTTTTTTCTGTTGCTTAGTGTTTGAATCTACTGTTTGGGAGTGAGTTACATCACAGACTTTTCTCTGGTTACTCCATTCGTCCACAGGCAGCAACTCTCTTCCTGTTTTAACAGAAAATGTTCAAGCCATATCCTCTCTTTTGTTTGCTAGGCAGAATAAAAAAAATTCTGATCTTCTGAACTGCTTTCTACATTTTAAAGAGTCGTTTTTCAGGAAACATTCATACAAAGCAGCTCAGGAGTTTACAATCACTCACAGGTATTATGTAAGATTAGGATTTGAACAGTTTTGATCAAGACTAAAGACCCATTTGGTTAAAATTGTCCTTTGATTAAACAAACCTGTCGTTGTTTTCTCTTACTTTGCCACTGCAATGTCATGTTGTTGTATGAATCATATGATCGCTCAAAAGTTCAGTCAACTCTGCACTGAACTGATTGAGAAAGCGTGTCTAGCTGTTTGATAGGTGGGGCATGTTATACAAACCTTTGATTCACAGATCAATGTTTTGTTTCATTGCTTTGTTCTCATGATTCATTCAAGTTTAAATTCATGACTCAATCTGAACATCTGAACAATCTTTCACTTTAGGATTGACCACATCAACTATTAGAACAGCAGAAAACTTGAGGGGAGTGGGGGTTCAAAATCTAATTCAACGAATTCTAAACTAAATCTAATTCAGTTTTTCTTGTGTGCAGCTTTAGACTCTATGACAACTATGTTTCCGAGTTACTACAACTGAGCATTTAAAAAGCTTAACCCCACAGCCATTAACTCATTTTTATTGCTGCAACTTTCTGCAACCCTTTAGCAATTTCTTCAGCCCATCATTGCAAATTATTTCCCTTTAGTTAATTACAGCTGTTACCGATTATGTGTTCTTTGATGGTTGCAACTTGTCCAGTCTTAACATATTTATTGTTTGTCTTGTCTTGGGCAGTATAGGTAGAGAGATTTTTGTATTTCTATCATTTTATTTTTCTTACAATTGTATTTCTACTTAACAAATACAATTTGCTTAATCGTAGCCGGAACTGCATGGACGCCTACCCCACTTTTCTGGCAGTGATGTGGTGTGCAGGAGTTTGTCTCAGTCAAGGTAATGATTAAACTTAGTCAACAGGCATGCTTTTGTCCTTCATTTTTACAGCCATGGGGGTCTGACTCATTTGAGAGGAGTTATTTTAACAAGGAATACTTCTTATGTTTACTGGAATCATGTAATTCAACATTTCCAGCTGCAGTGAAACAGAGTGTACCCATTTTTTTAGGATGCGACACTTACACTTAACTGTAAAACAACATGGACTATAGTCAAACATATCATTTGACAATCTTTTTTGGCATAACGAATTTAAAAAAATCTCGATATCTGGATGCATACTTAATGCAACCAGATTAGCAGATCAAATGATTGGCAATAGTCTCAGTGGCACAAACAAGGTGTAGCTGTTCGAGACAATAGCCACTTTTTAAATTTGTTTTTTTTTAAAGCATGATTATAAGTGGGGAAAGGACAAGCTTGAAGGGTTTATGTATTGATTAATATACAAAGGTTTATGAAATGCTGGACTCTACTCAAATGATTCTAGAATTTTAATTTTCATTACAGCAGCATGCTGTAATGAGGGATTATGTAAGAGGCTTAAACTTTGTAATATTTGTGGCCCCCATCTGTTGCCCCATACAAATATTTCTTATTATTATTTCTTATTATATATTATATATATATCTTATTGTTATACTTAAGAGCTTCTAAAATATGCATTAAAAAAATTCAAGAATGTTTCAGACTTAATAGATTTACTTGGCTCTCAAAGTGTACACTTGTCATTACATCTATGCTATAGTAGGTCATGCAAGTGTAAAAAAATGTTTGTACGAGTTATCAAATCCAACTTCTTTGCCCTATCGCTTCCTCAAGCCCCTGCAGCCTTCGCTGGGATCATCTACCTTTTTGTCAGACAGAAGTACTTCATTGGATATCTGGGACAGAGCTCTCAAAGGTAAGCCAGTTTATCCAGTGAGATATCTACTATGTATATAGAAATCATTTTTGACTAGTTATTTTATTGCACAGCACTCCTGGATACCTGTTTGGAAAACGCATCATCTCCTTCCTGTCCCTGATGTGCATTGTAGGCGTCTTCAACTACCTGCTGTGGAGCTATTATGGCAGCGACTACAAGGAATACGTAGAAACTATCACAAACGCTGCATCTGCTCTCCTGCTCCTCCCGTAGCTCAGTGTCACATATAGGGAGGAACATAAGTACTGAACATGCCATTGAATTTTTCTTATCGCTAATGGGGCTATTGACATGTAACACAAATAATTCACACACACGCATAATACAAAAAAATAAGTCTATAATTTCAGCTAGTTGTAATAAAGCATAATGGCAAAGGAAATAGCAACTGAGCACAACAAAAACTAGCTTTAAAGAAGGCATAGATAGCTAAGAACGCCACGGAAATATATCAGCACTTAAAAAGCAACAGTACTCCCTATCAGCAACAAATTCCTATTAAAACCTATAAAGGAGATTACTTCCAGCATGCAAGAAGTGGGAATCAAGAAATGCAACCTCATTGTTCCAGAACCTACTGAAGGAATTAATTACAGATGTGTTTCTAAACTGCTGAATGTTCCAGTAAACAGAGATTACTGGAACGACCTCGGGGTGGAAAGAATTTTACCATAAACCAGCCACAACTAAGTACTCGTCACAAGATTTTCAGCAGAATAGTTAAAATAATCTGGAAAGTTGTCCAAGAGTCAACGACCACCAAACGCGGCACGAGCTGGTCCTGTTGGTTCATGAGAACAGAGAGCAATTTGGTGGAGAAATGTAACTCCACATCACTAAAACAGAATTATAAAGTTTGATGGTGGGAACATACATAAATCAAATTAGGGTGGATTTTAGCTAATGGTCTCAGAAAACAAAGCAAACAGATAATTGAATGGGCTAGACTAAAATTAAGCTGAACAGGCAGAAATGGAAATCAAACAGATGAAGATTAAATTCTTCCTAACCAACGTAAGGTACTAGTTTCTTTCAAGGGATAAATTGTCAAATATTTTTATTTTAGTTCTTGCTTTATTTCTCCAAGTAGTTTTTCTAATCCTCCCAGAATGTTCCACTTTAAATTGTAGACCAAGTTGTTGTGTTGATTTTGTCGTGTAGTACTACTTGGATTATTACTATTATCTGTTCATGTAAATAGCGTCATTACATAAGTTCAATGCTTTTATCATATCCCACATTCAAGGTAAAATAATTAAAAGGCTTTAATCACATGTCAAAAGTTTCATTTCATTTTATTATGTAAAAATATTGTACAAATTTAAGAAAAATAACCCCAAATAAAACAGAAATATTCCAAACATGTTCAATCAATGTACAGCACATACAACTGTGGAATGCAGTTGGAGAAAAAGAAAAGCAAAAAAAAAAAAAAACCAAAACAATATATGTACATGTTACATTTTGTTTATTTACATGTATAATATGACTAATCTCAACTGCATCCCACATTTTCTTTTCAGTCTTTGCTGGTGCTTTTCCTCCCACTGAACAGCAGATGAATCCCAAGCCAGTAGCTCAAATACCAAACTCCTGACAAAGCAGCAGAGTTCAACTGATCGGCTTCTCATTCACTGATGAGAACACTCCTCTTCATTTTTCTTAAAATGTGCAGCAACAGATGCTGGAAAACTTAGCAGATACAATCCTTATGGTCTCCCTCATGTGTTTCTTATCAGTCTCAGCTGTAAAAATAAAGCACAGGGTTAAATAAAAAACACTTAAATGTACATTTTATGATCAGGAGAGCATAAGAACAGTTGACTTGCCTGAAATGATCTTTTGCTGCGGCCCAACCAGTGAGGGAAGTCAAATAGGGCATCAGAGTAGTACTTAAGGGTGAAGGAGGCATCCTTCCACGTTGGATTATATTTCATCAGGTTCTCAGCAATGAGGCCTTCAGCAGCCAAACTCTGCAAGATTTCACTCAAGTCAATCTGAAATGGAAGAAGAGCCACATTGAGTTATCAAAAAATTATTTGCAGCAGCAGTAAATTAAGAATAAACACAGAACAAATAAAAACAGTTGAGTTTACCTCCACCCTGTAGCTCTCTCCCGCCACAGAGGAGATGGTCCAGTTCAGGCCTTTCTCCATCTGCCACTTCATCATCTGATCCCCACCATTGATGGACAACATGTACTCCTGCAGAACTATAAAATATGGAAGACAGTTTAAATAGGGACAAGTAGGAGTTTGTAGTTATACACACAAAAAAATGTCCAAGTGACCTCAATTCTGTGCTGCCTTTATGCCAATTACTCCACCCAGCTGCAAGTTGCCCAACATGAGTCATTTAAACCGGTGGATGCAACCAAATGAAAAACACTGAAACTCGCGGAGCTGCAGGATAAAAGGGACATTTACCTCTGGGCTTCATGGGCCCCTTCTTAATGGTTTCTAGCATGTTTTGATCACAGAGAGAAACCAACACATAGATCCTCTTGGACAGCAGACTTTTCCTCATGCTGGTGTACTCCCACAAATTGTGCATTTTAAACTTCCTATAAGAGAGGAGGAAACGACATTCAATGAGTCTCACAGATTTATTGAATACTTTATTCTGTGTGATGAGTGTGCCTGTCACTCACCTTCCTAGTGAGTTCTGGAAAACTACATCAAAATCCCCGGAGTGAAACTTATCGATGAAAACCAGGTTCTCTTCTCCACACTGGACCTGGTATTCCGAGCCCACGGCCTTCACGGTGAAACCCTCCGGTGGGTTTTTCAGGAACTGACCCAGTTCTGTCACCGTGGTCCCGTTGGGTAGAGTGTTTATCGTCATGGTGTCCCGCTGCCTGTCTCTGAGCTTCTCTTTCAGGAGCCGCGACAACTGTTTACAGGATAACTGAGTCAGCTACAGCGCGAAGAACTGTTATGTAGTTGCAACCAAGCATGACGCAACTTCCGGATTCTGCCTACCAAAATAAAAACTCACAGCCTGGATTTGGTCACGGACATAATAAAGTACAGAAAAGAAGAAGAAGCATTTAGTCATTAGAAAAAAAGGAAATCAAACAGTTGACTACTTCATTAAAATGGTCTGAGTGAAAAAAACAGAAAGAAAACGTTGTTGGAAAAGTAGAAGATCAGAAAAGGTACAGCACAAAAGTATTGAAAGTTTTTACCAATGAACGTTCTTGAGGGGAGGAATGGTCACTTCACCAGGGTGGCATAAAAAACAGGAAACTCCAATACAAAGCAGTGTATAAAGAAGAAGAAAAATCTCAGTTTTTAACAAAACAAAAAATGTATCCAGCTGCATTTACTCTGATATTGAAATTACAGCTATGAGCATCATTAAGGAAGAAAAACAAAATAACTTTGGCAACAAAGCTTGCTGTCGAATTTAAATATCACTGTATTTACAGTATTAATGTAGAATTTAAGTTATTTAAATTGTAAATGCAAATGTTTTGTTTTCTAAACTGCTTTCGAGGTTGTGATAGTAGACCGACATTATCTTAAATATGTTTTATCTTATCAAATTCAATTAACCTCAGAATCTTACTAATTTTGAATTTGTGGCAGGATAAAGCCTTCTATTCTATGAAAATAATAAATCTTGAAACACTTTCAGCATATGCAATACGACAACACGGCCATTATTACTTCAAATTATTTCATTACAGTTCTATATCTTCAAAAGTGTATTCATTCAGTTGAATGCACGGCACTTCCAATAATTACTTTATTAACATGCACCATGTGTGATCATACTTTTATTAGGTGCCTCTTTTTTTGCACTTCTTTCTTCATTATGCAGTTCCCAGAACAATTGCAAATTCTTAAACAAAGATGAACAAGTAGAGTAAACTCTCTCCTGCATTAACACGAACATGTCCCTTATCTTTTATGTGAACAATCTGTTCCGTGAAATGTGGCTGTGCTGTTGCAATGCTTTGATTCATGATTTGTGTACTCTGTTTGAATAGTTTCATGACTTTAGCAATGCTGCCACTATTAAAAATAGAACCCTCCTACAAAGCAAACTAAAGAGGCATATATTCTTAAGTGGAGAAATCCACTTAAACATAAACTCCAACTTTTGCTTATTTTGTGAAACCTATGGGAAAATTTAAATTGTGTAAAAGTTTTCGATTGTATATCAGGTCACATGGGCTTTAGAAATCCAGTAGAAGTATTTGTGCAGCTTTTTTAACTATCAGTGCAGGGTGCGACTTGCAGGAGTTTTTTAAATAAATAATATAAAATGTAATATTTAAATAAACTGTTTTGGGTGTTTATTGATGTAAAACATTTAAGTGTGAAAGAAAAGAGAAACTATGGATGAAATCTGTAAGGATAATTCTTTTTACAGTATTTTTATAACCATAGATTTATTCCCACTTGTGGTTTAAGTGACAGCTCACCCTTTCATCTTCCAGCTTTACCCTTTGCAAACAATCTTGTTTTTTGCAGCCCTTCCTCTTCCTGTAAGATCCTCAGAGAAACATTATTCTGTTTTGACCCAAATACTTTTGTGTCTGCATTCGACTTTAATGCTGGTATTGTTTGACAAACCACCTGTTTGTTTTAGAGCTTGTCCTTGTGTACACGCTTCAGAATTTTTCATTACTTATTCACATGCATGATTTACACACATAGACCAAATTGTTGGTACCAATCTATTAACAAGGGATTGGTTTCAGTGACAATAAAACCAATTTTAAAATAACTTGAAACTGACAAAAATAATTCTATTCTCATCATACTTACACTAATTGTAGGCAGGATGTTAAAACTTATATTTTCTATCTAATTTAACATCTTACCTCAGCCTGCCGGTTTTCTTCCATTCGCCATTGTTTCCTATATTACTTGATTCTCTTCTCCCTTTGTTCCCATTTACCTCTGATTCACTATTCTGGTTTGCTTTGTCATTTCTACTTCTTCTCAGCATTTAAACTCCAGAATTTTCATTTGCTGTTATTGGATACTTTTGTTATTTGCTTCCCAAGTTCCAAGACCTGTTCAGCCTGCATGATTTGGAAGTGTGACCACCATGGACTGAATGGTTTTGTTCACTTCCTTCACTGCCATAGCTAAAGCTACAGAGACACTACAATTCTAAACCAGCGGAGAAAATTGATATCAATTACAACTTCTGTCAAATTCTACCTGGGCAAGCCATGTAAATGGGAGAAAACCCGGACTGTCTGTGAAGTGAGATTTTAATCTAGTGGAATAGCACAGGAAGGTAAAGGAAAACCTACTCATTTCCAACCTAGTTCTGTTTATCAAATATTATGCATTTTGCTCTGAAACTAAACCAGTTCTAAGCAAGTGAAGCCTATTCTTTTGCCAGAATTTTTTTTCCAGTCACCTTGATTTTTGTATACACTGAAATAAATAAATATGTTGCGCTTTTATAAAGAAAATTAATTCATGTTTGCTGTAAACATCTGAAGATAAAATTTAGTACGGAGTCATCTTAACATAATTCCACAATTTTGTGTGTTTTATGTGTGAAACCTCGCTAGGTTTTATTTCCAATCTTGTTCTTGACACCCTTCTAGAAAAATGATAGGGTTTTATTTTTGAATATTTATTGGCTTTAAGAACATTATACTTTTCCAGCCTGATTTTATTGTCACTCCTATTTATTTGTTAGCTTTGCTGCATGCTACACCATGCCTTTGTACACACATCTCTCATTTCTTTATAGGGTACTTTAACTGATTTATGCAAAATATGTACGACTCAAAGCTGTGTTTTTCATCTAATATTCTGTTTGCGCCTCTGGTGAACATTTTGCCACCTCTTTTGTGCCAAGAATCTTTTGATATAAGAAATTTATGTTAGAGAGTTACATTTTGATTTACGTATGAGTAGACAGTGCAAAGACTAATTGTCCTTAGTTGGATTTTAATTGACTTGTTTTCCATTCTGTTGCATAGATCATCAAAAACTAGGCTCACACTATGTGGTTGAATGTGCAAAGAATGTAAAAAAATATTAAGATGTTATTATTGGATGTTTCAGGCTGCAAATCATAAAAATTCTTCAAATTAGATAAAAGTATCCTCAGATGAAACACATGCTGCTCTGTTATAGTATGTTTGGTGATAAAATAAGAATGCAGACACAATCAGTAAATATAGATACACCCAATCATTAATGATTCACTAGGTAGACCAAACCTTTTCCAGTAATAACTGGAAACTGACTGTCCTTTCTATGACCTCATTGGTCTTTTTCATTGCAACTGACCTAACACTGTCTTTGCATAATGTTGTATCAGTCCATCAGGTCCCAGGCTTTGGACTAAGCACAACTCTGAGGTCAAGCTCATATCTGGATTTTGACTGCACCATTGCATTTCTTTCACAGTTTAAAATTTCAGCCATTCTCTGGAAAATTGGCGACTTGATTTTGACATAGTTGTTCTGTGTTCCTACATGGTCAAAGAGCAAGGTCAGATGTTGGACATATGTTTTTTTTTTTTTTACATGTTTTTACATTTGTCTTTAGATAATCTAGAGTTTATGTTAATTTCATTGTCTAATAATAAGCACAGGTAAATTCCAATCCCTCAATGTATTTGACACAAATGTTTGTTTTGGTAAGATCTATTTGCTTTACAGCAAGTTCAACGCTGAATGTCATAGTCAAACATCTCAGCTTTTGTCTCTCTCAGACAAAGAAAATTGCTGCACTAACCATGCCATTCAGCATGTTTTTAAAACTGCCTCTGTCAGTGATTTAAGGTAATCATCGCCAGTAGGTTAGTAATTTTCCTTCCCAAGATGTTTGTTTCAAAGTGCATAATTGCAAAACGCCTAAAAGGGAAAAACCAAGTCCAGCTCCTGCTTGATGCCTTTTCCAGTTTAACCTATATACTTTACTCATTTCAAGTCATCTGTCTCACATATCCAGAAATATGCAAATTGTTCCCAAATGAGAAGTATCTTTAATCCTTGTAATGGCAGCAGACTTAAAAGCATGGGCAGGCTTCAAAGTGAAAATACAGGGATGTTATATGAAAACTAGAAGCCAAAACAGCATTTCTGGAGTTTTATGCTGTCAAGAGACTGAAGCTGAATTATGTTAAACACCTTGTTTATTAAAGCAGGTGTGTGATGGTGCATTTAATTCCAAACCAATGTGATAATCTCATTGCAGTCTGTCCTGAAAGTTGATTTTTAAAGGGGCCAAGACCTTGCAGGAATTTTAGAACATGTGAAGATAGGATGGCAGGTCAGATGTCCTCCAAAGCACAGGAACTTGGTCAGGCCAAAGTTTTATAAGTGCTGCAAAATTCTACATTTATCACTGCAGTAGAATAACGTGACACATTGAATAGAGAAACGTTTCCTCTATGTATTCAAGTCAGAACGCCTGACTTAGAACAGGCTTAATGATTTTCTTTTACAATTACTCTTTTTCACTTTCTGTACATTACGCCTGAATGCACCTGAAATCAATCACCGTTGAAGTGAAAAACTTCGGACGCTTCATTGGCATTCATACAATGTACACTAGAGGCCGCTACAACTTCGCAGTAACTAACAGTCGCTTTCCAGGCAAGTGTCCTGGCAGCTCCACACAACTGTCAGCTCAGGAATGATGTAAGCCTGTCCCCGCTCGGTAAAGCAGCAGCCACGGCTATCATGTCTCAGCATAATGCGGTTAATGGCTGTGAACTGGTCGCTGTGTTTTTTCTTTTGCTCGGTAAGTGCAGTAAATGCTGTAGTTGCACTCAGTCAGCGTTAGCTAACTCGCTACATCAAGCTGGAAACACTTCGCTAGTCTGTCGGCTAACGAGCGGAAGTGGCGTTGATATGAACTTCAAAGGTAAAGTCGGAATTAAAGTAAAATAAATATACGGCGGTTGTAATTTTAATTAGGACGCCTGGAACATATTTTTGGGCATATTCTTGTTAGTTTAAAACATTCAAAAGGTTCGCTGTATTGTTGATTGAATTGTATTTTTTTCTTTAATTTTACTATGATATAAGAAAAGGAAATTATTCCTCTGTCGTGTTTGAAAACTTAACGCCACACTTTGCAGATTTATAAATATATATTTGGATTTTTTCCCTTTATATCACTATAAATGTATGAAAAAAATCAATCAGTATACATTTTAAACATTTTAATAGCTTTTACAATATTTTTTAAAACCTTTTTAACAGATTGAAAATATTTATTTTGCTGTCAAGAATTTCCGAGATGTATATTTTAAAACCATAGATTTAAAGATTATTGCTGATGGGGTTTTTACCCATTCGAGGCTTTGACTGTAGTCAATATCCTGTTACTAAATTTTAATAGACTTTCTTTTTAAAGCATTATTTTAAAACTGATGATGATACAGTGTCTCACAAAACCATTAATTCCTGATTTTTTGCACTTTTTAAACACATAAAATGTGAGAAGTATGCTCAACATATGTATTATTGCTAGTACTCTGATACTAGCAAAACAAAAAGAAAAAAAAGCCAGTCCCCTTGGTAAGTAGAGTGAGATTAGCTGAAAACTACTATGATGGGTGTCAGTTGAAAATATTTCCACTGATAAGGCTTAATGTTATTTCCCTTATTAGCAGAAGTTAAAAGCATGGTGCTCTAAAACTACACCGACTTTTAGGTATGTAGTACATTGTAAGTTGAAAGTTATTTGAATTGAAATTAAATAGATAGCTGTCATTATTAGTTTCTAGTGTTTTTTTGTAGTTGTTTATTGAAGTGCAGTTATTTTGGTGCTAATTGCATCCTAATATAAGAAACAGAAATATTTATTTTTTTAAGTTTATGATGAAGGTAGTTCATCCTCCTGCCAGATTTTGGAATAATAAAACTGTTTATGATACAAATTCATTTCCAGACATTAATTTAGTAAAAGTAACTTACCAATACATACATTTTTTAACACTGTAGTTTGTGTCCCACCTAATGTGTTTCCTTGTGTCTCCTTGCAGGCTTCAAATCATGAGGATCAGCCTGCACAGGGCTCTGCTGGTGAGTGTGGAGTTTAGTTCCAAGTGATTTGATGCTTTGTAGTAAACAGTCATTTAGAAAATGAAATGAGTTTCACAGAGAGCACTGGCAACATTTTAATTTCCTCCTGAAGTTTTGTTGCTGTAGATTTCTATTTTCCCAGGGTGGCAGAGTCTAAATGAAAATCTCTGTGCCATAAGTTTGAAACTTGGAAATCAAAGACTAGCTTGAGGATTTAAAGAATAGGCTGATAGTTCTTGTTGCTGAAAGTTAGATTGGACTTCATAAAATACTCCTTATATATCACATTGCATTACATTTTTGAAAAAGTAATCTGACTCTGTTGCACATCTTTTGGATCGTCAGTCTGATATTTCTATTTCTAATAACTGCACAGTATTTTTTATGTCACAGCTTGTACTGTATATTATTACTATGATTGTTGCTATTGTTAAAGCTGATTCTATTCTATGTCTGCATGCTATATTTAAAGGCCTAAATATGCGTCAGAGTAAGCCTGGAGTTTAATATTTTTAATTTTTGTTTCCTGGATTTCACTTTTTCCGGACAGTGCTGGAGGGATTGGTAATAGTGATTCAGAGTCAGAGGAACTCCTACCATGCCCAACGTGGTCACCAGAGAAGGAAAAGATTCTGCAGGATGCAGCTAATCTCGGGGAGGTAATATTTTTTGAGCAATTAAGGACTCAGAGTTTAGAACTTGATGTTTGCTTGAGATGTTTATATATCCCTCCTACACCATACAGTAAGGTCTCGTTAATTCTTCTTAATTCAAAATTACATTGCTTAAGAATAATTTAGTCGATCTGCTGCACAATGTTTTTGACAAAAATATGACAAATTTATGGCTTTAGATTTAATGACTTAAAAAAAAGCGCTATCAGCTTTCACTAGTTTAGGGGATGGAATCTGAAATATTTTTTCATAATTTCTTGCAGTTCCTTTGTCATTAGAAAAGTGTATTTTATCGTAGCCAACATCTTAAAACATGGTTTTAAGATGTTGGCTAACAGTTGTGAAGTTAATTTCATTGCGTTAATGGGTAAAACATAACAGAGGTGCACAAGGCATTTGAAGAACCATGCCTCTAATAATTTGAATTAACACATCGCTCACCTGTACTTGTGTACGGGATCCACGTGCTGCAACATGCTGATCTATGTTCTCCTTTCAGAAAGACTTTCAAGTTGAGTAACCTAATTGAAAAAGCCCTGAGTCACATGGCATTTCACTTCTGTTAGACATAAATCATTAACTAGTTTATTGGTTTGATTTTTTTTTTTGTAATTTGCATAGGGCTTAACGTTCTAAATCTTACATTTCACTTCTGAAACTTGAACAAACTCTTCTTCTAACCTCTTGGTGGGGTGGCGTCATCTACAATCACTTCAGCTTGTAAACAATAAATGTGGTTTGTCAGCTGGAAACCCTTCAGCCACAAATGGTGTGTTTGTAAGAACATCAAAGAACTGTTCCACGGCAACGTACTGGGAGCAGCGATTGACTTTGACAACCCTGAGATTTTTGTTTTCAAGAACCATATGTTTTTGATGATTTACACACCAACTTCATCCTGAAACAGAATGTGTGGATTATGAGAAACAGGACTTGAACTTCAGTGATCGCGAGGACCAAGCATCACCTTGATGTCAATGCAGCCACTCTTTAAAGTACGGTGCAGTTTACATAAAAAGCTCTATAACATGATGAACTTCCATCATAATAAATTAATTTAAATAAGTTGCTAAGAGATCATTAGCGAAATGTCAAAATTGCAAAAATTATGTCAATATAGAAAGACATTTCTGTAATAACTTTTTCAATGCTAAAACGTTTCCATTTTAACATTTTGTGCTTCTCTCTATTTGAATTTAGTTCAATTTATTTGTCCTTGTATCACAATAATTCACAAAAATGTAATATTAAGAACATTTTTTTGTACAGACATTCATTATCAAATCAGACCAATCATATCGACAGACTCAAATTCAATTTGTCTTTATGCAACATGATGCAAACAAGAAATTCATTTGTAGTGACTTCTAATATTTGAAGAAAAGAAAATGTGGCAAACCATCAGGGTCCAGGTCAGAAATGTATTTTTAAAGGTGTAACAAGCATTGTATCACAATGCTGCTGTATCACACCAGCAGAAGGATGACTCTAAAATCATATCTGCAGGGTGAAAAGATAAAATAGACAGCCTCAATATGACATCACTACCCCCTAGCGGCAGCAATTTCGCAAAACACTTGATCCTTTGTGGATAAATATATCAAAGAATGCTCACATGACACCACAGTGTATTTTTAAAACCTAATACTAAAACATTATCCAAGGAAGTCCTGTAATCTCTCATTCTGAAGCATTTGGTGGAAAATAACAACTCTTTGTTTACAGGAATCCCTGTTACAGAAACCGGCTCATTCAGCGCGGCCATCTGCTGCTCAGTATCAGTGAATTGGGGGTCTGGGAAGGATTAGCAGAAATCCAAAGCAAAGAAACACAATAAAAAGGAGCTAAAATGTAAGAAATATGATCTAATTCTCAACAGAACTCATACTCTAACTTTTTGGAGAAGCTGAAGACGCTCACTTTGGCTTCCTGCTAATGAAGATTAGCATCACTCAGTTGTAGCATACAGATTGGCAATATTGCATAGACAAAAGAAGGCTGTCCAAAAAACCTATTTAATGTGGTATTTAAAGGAAACATCCTTGTCAAAGATAAAGGCAAAGCTTTTTGCATTAGTGCTGGAGGCTGAACTAGAGGCAGCGAGAATCTGACTGACTGAGCAGTTTGCTTTTAAAAAAGCTCTGCACAACAATCAAATGCTTCCCCATGCTGTTTAATAACTTTACCAGGTGGAAGTGTGTGTAAATAAAGAGTGGAAGGTGTTAGAAAAAGATTTTCTTGCCTGGAGGAATATTTTTTCATGCAAAAAATGGGGAAACCTTTAATTTTCTCCTACAGAGTTGTTTGCAGTGGTAATGGGTGCTACATCTCCTAGAAGTGCTCAGAGACATGCTGAGAATCTCACGACTAGCACATCTGATGCGAACATGTTGCCGTGACAGACTGTGTCGCTTTTCCAAGATGTAATACCTACCTCTGCTTGATGGGCCCTCCATTGTAGAGGAGGTTTTGCATTGTGTTCATTTACTGACAAATTTAACTGGATGTTATAAGGAAACAAAGATCTCACTGATTTATAACGAGATTATTTATGCCTTGCCAGCTGTAATTAAATGTTATAGGTCTGCATCTCTTCAGCTGCATCATTTAGTCGTCACGTGTTTGTTAAAACCTTTTTGTGCACTCATAAACCAAGTTATGTAAATTGAAAAATATGAACCGTTATTCCTTCTGAATGCATTTCTCATACTTTTCTTACTTGTTCAGTTGGAACATTATAAAACCTTTGCACCAAAAGCAAAGTAAAATTTTCTTCTTTTTTTTAAATAAAATGGTCTATCAGGTAACTTGTTTTCACTCAAATCAATGCAAAGTTACAAACAGATGTTTGCTGCTTGTCAAGAGTACAAAGAGGAGGGCGACACCTGGGGTTAACATAGCTGCTTAAATGTTGAATTTTACTAATGGTCACATAATCTCTTCATTCTCGTCCAGTGTGTTAGATAATCTGATCAGAGCTTGGCTGCTTCAAATGCAATGTGTTTATGGAAATATACAGAGAAAAGTAGAGCACATGCTATAATCTGCTTCATTGGATTCTTCCAGTTTTTATAGCCACGTAACCAGATGTACTCGCTGGTGTTGTTTTGTTTTGTCATATGTTGGCAATCTCTGGAGCCTGAAAACTTTCCTCTTTTTTTTTGCAAATCCAAGTCTTGGAGTGAATAATCATCTGTGGCTTAGATTAAGTGAAAGATATCAGACAGGAAAGCAATGTTCAGTCATTTATTAGATCCATATTTAGCTGCATATGCATTATTCTATCAGATTCTGATAAAAATTAGGCCTATAAATGGGTACTGGGGACAGATTTGTGAGATTTTCCACATTAGTCATTTTATAAGGAAAGCGATCAAATATAGTAGCTTCGGTCCAAATGACAGCATAGCTGGCTCAAAGCTCCACATCAGAAGTAGTCTGTAAAGATGTTCTTAATTAGGAAATTGCTGAGAAAGGATATTAAGTGCTGTGTGGGTCAATTTAGAAGACAATATCTCAGCTTCAGCTCGGTTCATGTAATTCAATCCAACATGTCATTTTTTTTCTCATTCTTTCTACTTTGGACTGGGAGTTTAGACTACTGGCTTATATTTGAATAGCTCCACTCCAACTGTCGTGCACTTTAGTTCACTTCTAGGTGTAATTCACTCAGACTTGACAACAAGCCTCATTGTTAAAGGCTGTGGATTAGTTTCGAAAGTCTTTCTTTTATTCCTTTTTAAAGCTGGAAACTAAAAGTAAACCCACAAAATCTCTTCTTAGGCTATAAACTTTACAAAGATAATCCAAAGATGTAGGGTGAAGGGAAAGAAAAACATGTTATTTTTCACAGATGAGTTCAATATTATTTATACCTCAGGTAGACTTGGGTATATATATTTATTAACGTTAAACTAGGAAGTTTGTTTTTAAAAGAAAACAAGATGGGTGTCTCAAAGGACAACTGAACAATATGAAATAAGTTTTAATTAAAAAAAATGTATCTACATTAAATTTTTTAAAGGTATGTGAAATATTACTTACCCTCATCATTATTCAATGGAAAAAATTAGAAGGGTAAGTTTAGAGCTACTAAATCCTTTACCTAGTTGCTGAGTAGCTTTTTTTTTTTTTAAATCTTTTCACTGATATGATGATGTATTTTTGTGAAGAGCTCCAACTCTTTAAAGTCTATTATATTCAAGCCTGGACTCTGGCTGGGCTTCCTCAATATGTTAGTATTGTGGTACTTCTAGTGAGTGCAAATATGTTGCTAAAGTTAAAAGATTAATTTTAACCTAAATCTGCCAGGGGAAGAGTGCTGCAATTATTTCTGTGCCTTTTGTTTATTTTTGTCACATTTTAGCTGCACTCATTTTTCATATAATTTTATTGCTTTTCTCTCAGTTTGTCAACTCTATACCTCTTTTTCTGTATATTTCTGATTAATTGCATCATTATTGGATTATTTCATGCTTGAATGTGCTCATTTTTAAAATTTTCTCTGTGGCCATTTCATTTAATTTAGTATTCTGTCTGTCTGTGCATAATTTTTTCTTTCTGTGATATATAGTCAGTTGTACAGGAATACACCAGAGGCTTCTTTGCGTGCTTCGGACCTCAGCATTTTCAGATTGCCTTTCCATGTGTATTTTTTTTCCTGGAACGTAATAGTAATAGCATTACTGATGGAAAAAATGAATGATAACCTGTTTTTGAAAAAAAAAAATGGATGCACTATTTTGTTGTATAGGTCATCTTTAAATATTAATAAATTCGTTGAAAGGTTAATCTATAATAATTTAGATTCCAAATAATGTAAATTAATTAATGATCAAAAGATTTAATATTAATACACTTTATATTTTAAGTACATTCAATCATTTTTCAGCACTACGATCTGTTTATTCTAATCCACATAGGGGCTTCCAGTGGTTCTCCTCCTGCATGAGCTGTCAACTTATGAAGGAAACTGGAGCATTCTTCCTCTTCTTCCACTGTGAGTGTTTAATGCACCGATTGCGACGTTAAACAAGTCAGAAAATTGTAAATGTTTTATTGTACAGACTTTTGTTGTAAATATTCCTGTGTGGGAAATATAGGGAATAACTTAATAAGTTCCTGGACATATTTCCAGTCTCTCTGCTATTTATGGGGAATCGGCATCCTGGTTTTTGTTTATAGAAGAGGAAACGATGGTTATTTTGGATGTTCTGCAGAAAGTTCTTAAAAGATATTCCGTCCAAGAGGTGAGACTTTTATTTTATTGTTTATCGATGAAAGACTAGATGTGTATTACAGACAGTATTTTTGAAAACCAACTGAGAAAATCTTTTTCCCATTTTCTTATTTACAGGAATGGTTTTTGGGTCATCGTCTCCATGACAACAGGCCCTCCATTGTTCACCACTACGCCTTTTCTGAAGACCCCGCTTCTTTTGGTTACCCTGACCCAGCAGCTGGTTGGGCTTTAAGTGCTGCGCTGCACCAAAGGTGTGTGAGATAGTCTGTCGTGTCTGGAAATGTGTGAAAATTACCTGTTTCAGTCCTTTCCTCCAGTCTTTTTCCCCACATTAAGCTCTTCATTTTATTTTTCTCTAAAATTAACGACCTTATGAGTATCAATTAGAGTCCCTTCTCTAATAAAGTCAGTGCTCATAAATTCTTCACATTACTCTTCAAAACCACTATTAGATTATTGATTAGATCACTTACTTACTGGATGCAGTCTAAACCTTCAGATTTGCTGAAAGCTAACCCCCTCCAAAAACTAATTTCTCCTTTATTTTGTGTGCCTTTCACTGCCTGGTTTCAGCTTCCACGAGCAGTAAAGCTTACATAATCTCTTTTGTGTTTCAGACTGGCTGAGCGGATTCAGTCTGAGAATCTGAAGTCGGATTTTACCATTGACTTGACCCACGAGGTACTCGAAGCCACTTCTATAGGTTTGATGGAGGTTTTGTCAACCTCTATGTTTTCATGACGCATGTTAAAACTTATCTGCCACAAAACAGATAAGTTTTCATGTGTCATCATTGTCTGGCGTAATTGAGGAGCCTGTATATTCAGAAAATATTTTAATAGTATTGTAAACAAAACAAAAAATAAACATGTAGGGATGGTTTCCTGTTGCAAAAGTATTTTCACCCCTTAAAATGCTATGCAGTTGTAATAGCCAGACACCTTAAGGAAGTTTTTACACCCTTTTAAAAAAAAATTTTAAATATTTTTTACGTGAACTTATGTACAGCTTTTGGATTTTAATGTGTATGAAATTTCAATCACATTTCAAGTAAAAATTAAAAACTTTACTTTCTTGATTTCCAGACTAGCTGGAGACATTATTTCTTGCATGTAGCAAACTGTGCTGGAAAAATCTTATTGAAATGTGGGGCATCCTTTTTAAAAATGTTCTGCATTTGGAAGTCTTCTTAAATTTGAAAATCTCTAATGACCTAAAGATGACTCAGAGAAAGTAAATGAATGTGCATGTGTGAGGAAGAAAACATATTTTTCCAACTTCTGCAAATTTCAACATTTGCTACCATTAGATGACGTGAAAATCTACTCTCACTGTTTCAACTAATTATCCAAATATCCAACATTTGTCTTTCATTTTGTCACATTTTTTTTCCTTTTAATAGATTGCTTTGTTTATCTGGGAGGAAGGAAGAGGACCAAAGCTGACCACAGTTCCACAGTTTTGTACAGAGACAAGAGACAACTGTGCAACCAAATTCACAAACTACCTGCCCAACTGTGTATGTGCAACTCTTGTTTTGATTATAAACAAATATGTTGATATAAGAGGATACAACAAATAAATAAATACATTTGGTTAAGTAGTTAAGGGCTTATTGGGCTAAGCCTCCTGAAGATGAATAATTCAAAATATTCTTGGCAACCAAATTATTGAAACATATTGAAGGTAATCAAACAAACAACATAAATGGCAGTAATACTTGTTTTGAATGGGACGAAGGCCATTGATTTAAGTTTTATTTCTGCAGAATATTTTTTAGCTGCTTCCTCTAATGGAAACACTTTCAGCTCCCCAAGCACACTATGTACTAAGCATTTAGTAAATAACAAAACCTAGTAGGGCTGCAAAGGTTAGCTGATTTAGGACAGAGGTAAAAAAAAAACAACAACATTTATTGGACCAAAAAATTATTGTAGTCTTATGATGTTTGGGACTTAAAAGGAAAACAGACATATTAGGAACCGCTAAACTGTAAACCATGAATGATTTATAAAATCCTCAAAAACGTGATTTTGTTTGTGATTATACAAACTAAATGTCTGCATCAACAGGATATGCCAGGATAGGTTTGTTAGGACGCAACAAAATATGGATGTTTTCATATTTTCTCACATTACTATTGCAAACTTCAAAAACTTTAATGAGATTTTATGTGTTAGACCAACATTAAGTATCTCATAATTTCTTACTAATGTTTCCTGATAAAGCTTTCCCTGAACAGCTGCATCATTTTGAAATTAAATTACAGAAAAGGAAGAATTTTTTATTTCCAAACTGTCTCAAATGCCCCTCATTATTTGCTGTCCATTAAACATTTATTTGCTACTTTGTGTCAGTCTGTCTTTGTAAAATAGTTTAATGAGACAAATCTCTAGAAGTCCAAGTGGTATGAATGTGTTTGAGATTATGTTTGGCACAGTTTTTTTTCCAATATCATTATGTTTGATATTTTTTGGTTGTGACTTATTGGACACAGTGAAAGCATAGGTCCTGCTCACCCCGTTGCCAATGTCATGCTACTTTTTATTTTGTTTTTTAAAATTAAATTATGCTTAATTGTCTCCCGTTTCCTCAGATAACAAATATGTTAAAACTGTATGCAGTGATGCAAATTTCTCTCAACAGTTCTTTTCTGTCCAGTTGGAGAGCAAAGATAAACTGGAGGCTTTTTAAAAAAAATCACTGAATGCCTACAGTTTGTAAACATATGTATATTTTTTCAGAATTTTGTTTGTTGCTAAAACACAGTCTTTCTGTTTCTGTTCCAGGGGAATCCTGTATCAAAGAATAATATATTTGTTGCTGTGAAAACTTGTGAAAAGTATCATTCAGTGCGAGGTGAGTATTAAATCTGTGACGATGTCTTCTGTTGGACAATGTGTCATTGTGTACTTCTGACTACTTCTCAGTGACTGTTGTAAAAGCTTCTTTGTATGTATTCCACTAATGCCTGCTGGTGCATATTTTACACATACCACATATCATATTGTACCTTTGTCAGCATCTAGTGGTCTGACACCTAACTGGGCCAATTTGTTTACTAAATATCTGCATTTATGTCTATCATCTGTGGTATGTTTAAACGAGCTCTGCTTAATTTACCATCTAGAGTTGAAATATTTTCTAAGTTGAGTTTTCAAAGTGTGATAAATTTAAGCCCTGAGTGATTTTTGGATGTAATAATGGCTCGGTCATTTTTTTTTTTCAAGGCTAGGGTTTCCTTTCACTTGTTGCTAACCATTCACAGACAATTCCAGTTAAATTAATCAAACTTTAAGGTTGAAATGTTGCTAAAGTACGAAACTGATTTTACCTGGTACTATATTTAATATTTTAAGTTTCAGATACAGTTCTGTTTTCTTTAAAGATGGTTACAGGTGAATGGCTTCTAATGACGTAAATTTGGTCTCTTCTATTTCACTTGTTAATTCAGTACCTGTTGCTCAGCGGTTCAGTCAGGTAAAAGCTGCCTATTGAAATTTACATCCTCATCTAAAATTTCTGCTTAAATTTGATCTGTTTGTGTAATCATCCAAAACATTGGTGTCTTTTTTTTTTTTTTTTTTTTTTCGGGTTAAAATGAGCCGACTGGCTATTTTACAGCAATTAACATAATCAGAAGCAGAGTGGAGAGATTTGCTTTTTTGTGCGATGGTTTGAGCTCAGCTTATTAGAATTGCATAGTAGAAAGTCACAGTGTCCTCTCCACATTTTGATAATACAGAGACGTGTTTAGGAATAAATGAATACAAAATTGGTCCCTCTTGTAATGGATCAAAATTTAGTTTGTTTGATTTAACTCTAAATGAAAGTCATCATCTTGTTGCTTTCATCATATAGATAATACTCTTATCCAAATTAATATGCAGTGCAGAGCATTATCCTTTATTTCCCTTAATTAAAAGCAGTCTTCTATGATTTAAGGATACAAGCCTTTCGAGGAGCCACTTTGACAAATTTAGTTTTTAAGTGGCATCCATTAATCTGGTTTCAGTCACTAAAGAGTCAGGGTTTCTTCCAGCGTATTGCAATCCTCGCGGACCGCCAATCTTTATTGATCCCCCGAAGAGATAAGTGTCGATTGTTTTGAAATAGGTTTTGTAAAACGCTAGTAAAATCTGTAAATTCTCCCTAGGTGTGAGTGTGAGTGTGCCTGGTTGTTTGTCATGTCTGTCTCTGTGTTGCCCTGCGACAGACTGGTGACCTGTCCAGGATGACCCTGCCTCTCGACCGGAACGTTAGCCGGAGATGGGCGCCAGCACTTCTCGACCCCACTAGGGACAAGGGTGTTAGAAAATGGATGCATGGATAGATGAAATACATTAGTAATAGTAAAAGCATAGACGGATTAAACTAGGTTTATAGTTGATGCATTGAACTGTGTTGGGGGGGGACACACACCAATCGCTCTGTCTTTGTGAGCAAAGACTGATGGATGGCGTGTGCATTTACACATTGTTGTTCAACATCTGTTCTGGCATGCGCTTGGCTCTCTGTCTGCACTTGCAATTGATGATGCTTATTCCATTTATTTCAAAAACACTTTGACCCCAAGGGGAAATTAAATGTTGTAACTCATATTATCCAAGGTTCAAAAGCGTACAAGAAATTAAGCTCCTCTGCCTTCTCCCAGTTCTCCCAGGACTAACTGCAGAAATACACCACCGAGTCAGAAACAACCAATCATGGTCTGTTTCAAAATCCACTGGCTGATTACTTCATTAATATATATACATATATATATGTATTTTTTTGATTGTTGTTCTTAAAGTATTGTCAATAATATCTTTCAATAACATAACTATCTAGTCATGTTTTAACACATAACACAGTGGGCTACTGGCTGGCACCCCCAGTGCCCTTTCCATCACTTAGCAGATTTTCTAGGGGAAACCCTGAAAGAGGTTTGTTTGACTCTGTAGTTCCAAAAGGTTGATGTCTTGAATTTAATGGTGATCTTTTGCTTCTCTTCTCTGCTTCCTCACAGTACCAGTAGTGAAGTCCACCTGGGAAAAACACGCTGTTTATTTAGAGTACTACAGCGATGTCACTGATGCCTCCATACCCACTATCAACCTTGGAGTGCCCAATACTGAGAGAGGTGAACTTATTCACTGCATTCATTGTTTACTGTAAACAAAGATGAACATGAGAGTTCTATCATAATTTTTTTTACCACCTTCTCTTTTTCAGTTGTGCCTACTCATGAGTTACAGGCACATACTGAGTTTGAAACAGTACAATTTTGTCTTTTCTGCTGTTTGCACTGTTACTGATACCCACAGGCATCAGGCCTCACAATAACCATGTCATCAAAATAACTTTTTAAAAAATATATAGCCTTGACTTTCAACTTATTAGACTTGTTGACCCTCATCATTAGGACATTGTGTCCAGAGTTTGATAGATGTTTACCTGCTGCAGAACACTAGGAATGGGTTATTAGCCTCTGAAGGACTTGATGGCATGCTGAGCAGGTAATGCAATTATTTGTCTGGGTCAGGGACACTTTTAAAACATGCTGCCAGTGGGACCTGAGAATAAATGTCAGGGATCACCGCATTTAGACACAGAATTACAACATTAGCAACTGAATGAAAGTAGCAATAAAAAAACAAATGTTGGATTGTTGTTTTAGAAAAAAACGGAAATTGCCTGACAAAGTCATTACACAGAGCTTACATATATATAAATAATAGTCAACAGCAAGAACACATGTGGAAGAGTTATTTCATGCAAGACAAATTCGTCTGCTTTGCTGTCGGACACAATGAGGTTGACATGGACATTCAAAATGCAGACCTACAAAATACTTATTCAATAATGTCTGGCAGAGAAGCCAATGGACCTGTATGTTTCCAGTAACTATTGCAAGCAAGGAAAGCGACATAAAAAGGAAAATAGTCGGTTCTGATTGGTTAAAGAGCTGGAAAAATAATAACGGGAAAATGTAACTCACTGAAAAATTACTACTGTGTTTTTCAAAACCTGTGGACAGCTCAGTGAGGTGCAAAAGTACAAACCTGCAGGGACTGGGTAGTATCAAGTGCAAACTGAAGTTCAAGTTTTATCATCTGCTTTTCATCCCTTTTTATGTTACATTTTGTGTCTGTCTGGTGTTCAAAGTGTTGCATTCAGAAAACCTTTTGCCACTGATCACCAGTAGCTCCTTTAACACCTATTGTCACCTTCACATTTTGTAACAACCTTTACATTTAATTATTTTGGTTTGGGAATTACCTCCTTAATACAGGAAATGCTTAGTTTTTGTTTTGTTTACAAAGGTGTATCCATGGAACATCCAACTTCTCAGACCACATCTGTTCAAGTTTAAACAATAGTCATATTGAATGAATGTGAAGTAAATTAATAATTATGTACAAAAAGACACGCAATGTTTATGGAATTTCAATGCACTAGGTACTCCATCCAGAATTTATGGTTGAAAGCAGCCACACGGAGAAAAATAGAGAAACATTTTTTTACTGATTGTAGTTTCTACCATTCTTCTGAGGATTAGTCCCTTCATACAGAAGGAAAGAAATTAGGTGATGGCTGCTGTTTACCTCTTTTTTGTAATCTTGCCCTTTTAGTTTTTTCTTTTATTTCCTCACAATCTGTTTTTTACGATCTGTGGCTCTGTTCACCAGCTTGAATGAGCTGTTCACAAACGAACCAGTTTACTCAACCGAGATTTAATACGTACACACTATAAAAGCACTGGAATGTAACTGCTGTCTCCACTTTTGCGACGTCTCAGCCACAGGGTCTTTTTCAGCAGTTTGCATGTGTACCAAATTTTTATTTTATTTTTAAATTTCCTCTCCTGTTTTTAATTTGCACGGACAGGAAGTATCTAATTAGTCACTTGAGACTTACAAAGTGGTAGCAACAAACTAAAAAACTGAAGTGAGCGTTGCATGTTTTCACAAAGGATTTCAAACTAGCCACAGCACATTTTCACTTTAAGTTGTTCAGATTCACACTGTTCAGTCTCACCTAAATAAAATAGTTATATATATTTCTGTTAAACCATACGGCATTTCTACCTTACAGTGACATGTGAATACATACAAATGATATTTCATAATTTCCTCTGATACTTTATTCTGATCTACAACGTCTCAGACCCACAACATCCAGAGTTGAGGTCTGCAGCACATCCTCTCCACTATAAAGAGATTTGGTGCTGCACCGCTTCCCCCTCCCGAGACGCCGGTCCAGAATTGCCTCGAAGCCGTGCGGAAGTCCTTCTCTGTGGCCTCTTCAAACTTCTCCCATGCGCGAGTTTTTTGCCTCATCAACCACTCGAACCACATCCCGCTTCGCCCGCTGGTACCCGTCGGCTGCTTCTGGAGTCCCACAGGCCAAAAAGGCCCGATAGGACTCCTTCCTCAGCCTGACAGCATCCCACACCGAAGGTGTTCGAGGCTCAACATTATGACTAGGGCCAAAAAGCAATGGCTAGACATTTGCACACATTTCGGGTTTTATGGGGTGTTCCCATCGGATAAAACGCAGTCCCAGGATGGATCTGTGTTAAAATGGCAACAGTCAGAATACATGGCTCAGGGATGGTTTGAGGAGCACAGCAAGATTTTTCTGGCCTATAAAATTTTAAGATCTTAATCCATTTGTGAGAAGTTGATGTCAAGCAAAAGGAGAATTTACAGATTATTAGGCAGGCGGCCATAATGTTATGCCTGATCAGTTGTAAGATGATAAATGGCTTTACAGAAGCTTCATGGCTGAAACTCATTCAAACTTATCTCTGTGTTGCATAGACCAGTTTTATAATGACTTCACCTGCACCTGCACCAGCAGGTGCAGGTGAAAAAGAGAGAATCCATCCAATTTGCATATTCATAGATCTATGCTAGGAAAAGTTGTAGAGTTATATTCTAGATCACTGTAAAGGATGGCAGGGATATTCAGTTGAAAAATAAAACACACATTGTTGTTTTAATGAGAGATTTATGTGTGTAACTAGTTTCAGGAGATGGTTGTTAGCATGATGAATATATGAGGTTTTTAAATCAATATCTAATGCTTTGGATTAAATCACAATGTACTGACCTAATTTTAAAATACAGCAGATGCAGTGTGACTAAAGTCACCGCACACTGTAAAATTTTATCTTCATTAAATCATCACATGCCCCTTCTTCTCACTTGTCACCAGCTTGAATTCTTGTCACAATCATCTCATGTGACACACCGATGTGTGTGCATAATATTGAAATAAAACATGACAACTTCTGTTCTCAAACTTTCTGTCTGCTTGTTCTTTAAAAGGACACTGTGGGAAGACGTTTGCAATCATGAGGCGTTTTCTGAGTGAAGCTGCGCCGAAGGTTGATTGGCTTGTCATTGTTGATGATGATACTCTTATCAGGTAACACAGATGAGTTTTTATCACCAGACACCAAGAAGTTAGCCATATTCCAAGAAATGTCAAATTAATAAAATGACTTCTCTGCTGAACAGCTAAAATGACTTTTAATGTCTACCAGTCATTGCCTTTGCTATTTTTTCTGGAGAATTATTTTATCACCAATCCAAATTAAAATTTGCCCGTCATATGTCTTAAAGACATTTTGAATTTGTTGCTTTATCTTAATGTTTCAAGCAATTGATCGTAATTAATATTCATGGTTCTTTTTTTCTTTTGTGACAAAAAAATTAAAACTGCTTCTGCTGATAACCAGAAAGCGTCTTATTTCACTTGATTAAAATGGTTATATCATCATATTTACCACTATTTTTTTTTCTTTTAGATATAGAATAAATAAAAATGCAGACTTCCTTCACATTGAGACATTATTATTCCAATATCACAACTTAAATAAGAAAGAAACTGATTCCAACTGAATCCAATAAGTTCAGTAGGAGTCAGTTTATGATTTTCAACATTTTTGCATGATTTACATAAACTGATTTACATGCAAAAACATAAAATCTTACCAAGTAATTGTGGGTTAGTTCGCAGTGCAAATATCTTATTACACTTAAAAGTAACTTTTCAGCAACTGATAGAGGTTTGTTTTTAGTAAATACTTCCTTAATATTGAGAAAAATGTTCCTGTTCTGTTGGCAGATAAATTAAATTACAACATGAGAAAATGTCTTGTTAAAAGTGAAATATTTTGCCAATGGAACAAGAACCTTTTCTAGACGTCCAAAAACAGTAAGTTTAGTTTTGTTCTTGCTCAGCTGGAGGGAGCATCTATCTGTTCAGAGCATGGATGGGTTCAGAGTTACATGGTTTCCATGTATCATCTGTGTAGTTTTGGTAACTAGTCATATTTTTTGTTATAAGTTGAGCTAATAGGAGCATGAAGATTTCGAATGAGAGTGGTCCCAGAATTGAGTTTTGTGGTACCCCACATGTTACACCTGTCTTCTTCAATCAGAAGTTACCTACTAACACAAAGATATCCTTCAACCAACTGAGTTCTGGACCGGAGAGTCAACAGTGTCATATTCTGTGCAGAGGTCCAAGAGAACCAGCACTGTGGTTCTGTTTATGAGGTTTATGAGTTTTTACTAATCCCAGCAGTTTATCAAGAAAAACATAAAAATGTTCTGTGTGAATTAATTATTTCTATGTGTTCTTTTGAATGTTTTCAGGGCATGCATGAGGTTTGTTTTGTTTCCATCAGGATGTTTGTTATTGTTTATTTTTAGTTTGTCGCGGCTGCGGCGACTGTTGCGATGCTACAACCCAAAGGAAGCAGTGAGCCTGGGAGAAAGATATGGGTATGGCCTGATGCAGAACGGATACAGCTACACAACAGGAGGAGGAGGGTATGTGAAGATGTTATTCTAAGTCATATCGCTACATTAACTTGACCAATATAATCCTCATCTGAAGGGATCGTATCATGCATGTTTTTTAAGTCACTTGTTTAGCTAAGTCATAAACTTGCCCAAGAAAAATCTGTTCTCAGAGATTTTCTGCTGCAGGGTGAGTTCATTTACTTTATATGAATAAATTTTTTCTGCCTTGGTAAATAAAAGTCAACAAAAAAAACAAACAATTACTCTAACCACCCGATTACTTTCTTGAAGACCTATTTAATAATTTAATAGCGGTGTCGACTCTCTGGGAAGAACAAAGAGGCAGTGATCAGGGGTTTTGCAGAGCTCTAAGCTGTCAATACAGATTTCTCATTAACAACTAATGAGAACCGCAAAATACAGGTGAGAAAGCTCAACTGTTTCAACAATAAAACATTTTCTGACTGAAAGTAACATTAAAGTTTTGGACTGACTAAGTCAGTGTCCTGAAAAGGTTATGATGGACAATCTCTGCAGGAAACAAAACAAGTTGAAGGCAAATTGCCCTTCCTTCCTCAAAAACCAGGAGCAAAGACGAAATTTCAAAATACTGGTAGAAACATGGGGAATAGCTAAGATGTATTTATTTTATTTTTTTGTAAAATCAGAAACTTCTGTGTTGAATGATAAATTGTTTTACATCCAACTCTTTCAGGGTTATAAATCAGTTTTGACTATAAATAAAAGTTCAGTTAAAAACAAGACAAAATAGCAATGATTTCCACTTACTTGCTTTATTAAATTTATTAGAGCTCTGTAACTTTGAAAATATTTAAATAATACTTTTTCTGTATTACCATCTCAAAAATATCAGCTTGTCTACATGTTATTTAGGTAGAAGAGAAACTGACATGCTGATATGTTAGAGTGTTTAAACATTTCTTCCTTTGTTATTGGTCTAGGTGCATTATTTTTATTTAGATTAGAGGTAGACGGACACTATGTGGGTGAAAGAGGGTAATTGGTGTTTAAAAATGTAAAATATTACTACAAAGTTTTGATACATACAATTCACATAATTGCTGTGAATTAGAAAGTCTTTAAAACTCTTGTTCTTGCAGGAACTATGGAAAAACCACAACAGTAAAAACTGATTTATGCCATTTTATATAGTTGAGCTTACCTTATGTTAACATAACTATATTAAAGCTAATCTGTGTTAAGTGTACATATTTTCCTTGTGTATGTGTGGATTTAAAAAAAAAAATCTAAACAGGGAGGAACGATTAAAGATAAACCAACCCATCAGACTTTAGGTCTGTGTAACTCGTCTTCTTACAGATTGTATGTTCGTGTGCAGGATGGTACTGAGCAGGACAGCGGTGTCCATCCTGCTCTCCAGTGGCTGCAGCTGCTACAGTGATGATGCTCCTGATGATATGGTCTTGGGGAGATGCTTCACTTCCATTGGGGTTCCCATCACACACAGTCCGCTTTTCCACCAGGTACAAACCACGACATGCTGTTTACTTCTTCCTTTATTACCAGTTCATACAACAAAATCAAGATTATAAGGGCATTTAGTTCCCTGAAAGATTCAATAATAGCGTAGATCCTCAATGAACAATGAGTATTATTTATGGGAGGAAAAAACATAAAGTTGTGAAGCGGAATATCTTTAAATGTGAAAGTCCCATCAGCTGATTCTCTGCATGACCCTAATTTCATAACTTTTTCTACTAATAAGTGGTCATTTTCAGGATTAACTCAAAACCTTGTGACTTCAAAACAATCACTGCAACAGTATTGTGATGAACTGGCTATCAAGCAATTTAAACATTTATTAGTCATGAGAATCCCCAAACAGGAACCATTTTGCATCCACTGGGAGACTAACAGAGGAAACCACTTTTCTTTTTTTCTTTTTTTTTTTTTGCTCTAGGCCCAACCAGATGACTACACAGGAACAAGGATTACCCCGCAGCACTCCATCTCCTTCCACAAGCACTGGAGTGTAGATCCTGTTGCCGTCTACACAAACTGGTTGCAGGACTCGCACCCAAAAGATGAACTGTGATAAAAATTCTCATGAGGATATTTGCTGTGAAGCTCTATTGTGTCTGTCAGACGTTCTAAAAAATAGCAATGCTCTTTCAAGATCTGAACTTTTTTCACACTTTTATTTTAGACCAACACAGAACGAGAACAGTGGTGAAGTGGAAGGAAAATGGTTCATTGTTTTCATATTTTCCCAGAAGTTTTTATTTCCATCCATTCTTTTCAGATACTTTTTGTCTCCTGTTTTTATTTCATACATTTTGGTCTCATTATGCAAATGAGGAGTAGTGACATCTATAATGTGTCAACTTCTGCCTATTTATTGGTGAGCATGGCGCTGCAGAGCTCAAATCTTCATGCTACCGGCCCCAACAGGAGCAGACTTTTAGTAGTTGTTTTTTTTTTTGACAACAGTGATTTTGGCCTCAAATAAATTAATGTTTTCATCTTATTTAATCTTGAACACTGACCTTAACTGAAGCAAGTGTAACCAGCTTGTTTTGCATGTTATTGTGTGTTCCTACATGATGTAGGTCTCACCATAATTAGATTTTTGTTTGATTGCTGAAAATGAACCAAAATGTGGTTTATCACATTTAGTTCTTAATTTATAAGGCAATTATATCTTATACAGATCCAGGTTTCCCCCTTGTTAATTCATGACTTTAAAACTACTTTTTGCATTTACTCAAATAAGCTTTGTCCAACATGAGAATCGTTTTGCTCCGAGACTTAAGTGAAGGCAGAAGAGATCCCAAAAGCAGCATTTTATTTTACAGCACAAAGCTGTGTTTCTATATGATTTAAAGTAGGCACTAAAAACTTTTGGCATTCTTGATAAATGCTAGCTTTTGTGAAGCAGATGGGAACATTTTTTAGCTCAAGGGATTGGTTCAAAAATTGTAATAAAAGCAAGACCTACTTTATTAAAGTTTGCTTTACAAAACTGCAAAATGTTGCAGAGTATCTGATTGTGAGGCTTAACACTCACACATTTGCAGTCTGTTTTCTATGAATCCCTTCCCACCTTTTTTATTGTGTTTGCTGGCTAGGGGTGAACTGGCTAAACAAAACCCAGAAATATGGTTTGAAATGGTCTGAACGAACAAGCTGAGCGTGTGGGAAGGTTGTGTGGATGCCAGACATGCGGTGGGAAAAACCTGCTGTGGGTATTCTAGGCTTTGGGTGGCAGTGATAACACTGCAGGAATAAATCTACCATATGGCAAATCATACTTCAAAGTTACACCTAAAGTATGTGATCCTACACCAATTTATAACAACTTGCAGCGTCTTGGTTAGGTTTTTCAAATTATTATGTTGCCTTAAAAGTGTTATTGATGTGTTCCAGTATTCAGTGATAAGCAGAGGAGCTAATTCAATCATTAAAACCCTGGACAAATGCCTCATGGTTGAAACCAAAGAATAATTTCAGAAGAATAACCACTAACTTCGATCAGAGGTTTCCAAGCTTTGTCTTGTTTTCCCCACCAACAAAAATGCTGAGTCCATCATCTACTTTATGCAGGCACAGATGTAGCTGAACACCATAAAAATCTTGCTAGTTTACCATTTCTATGTTTGAAGAGCGTTCCAAAAATTTTATTTTTCTCTAAAATTACAGCCATATTGATCTTTCATCCTGTCTGTCCTAGAATCCAATTGAAGGATGTAACAGGTGTTGTTTGTTATTAGTTGGTTAAAAAAAGGAGCTAAATTCTATTGCTTTAACATATTTAATGAAAAAAAAAATTAGCAGTCTAGGCTCATTGGGTTGTCCTTTGATGGTCATTTTATTCTTCATGCCTCAATAAGTTTTCTCTCTCTCTCTGAATTACCTTGAAAACAGGAGCATTCATCACAGCTGAGTTTGTTTTATGTCCTCAGTTCACTTACTTTGCTCAACAATAAAAAAAGACTTTATTCCATCACATTTTTTTATTAAAAATTAGGCACACTGTGCCATTTTATTGCACAATTAAGTGACTCTGTTACTTCAGTTGTTTAAAGTCTGAAGTAGTCCATTGTCTCTTTAAGAAGCTCCTGCTCTTCCCGACACTCTGCCTTCATCACAGCAATGCACCTCCATTATGCTGTTTACAGCAGTTCTTAGGAGCATGAGTTTGTATAATGTGTCAGCAGAGGTGCAGTTCCACCTGGTGTTTGCGATCTGTGACGTGGAGCTTTGAGAGAAGAAATGCGTTCAGGCACCACCAAATGGTTACCAAGGGAGATACATGCATAAAACAATACTCCAGGTATTTTTTTATTTTTCATGAGGGAATAACATTATTGCATGATGTGAAGCTAAAATAAATTATTAGGCATAAGGCTCCCCTTTAAAATCATGATGGCTCTCTGGGTTGCACAGCAGCATAACTGTTAGCGCTGTTGCCTTGAATGTTCTCACTGCATTCTCTAGGTGGGTCAAAAGACACTGTAGCTGATTTGCTTTTCTAAACTGATGCTTTTCATCTAGACATTAATTCTGTGCATGGGTAGTTCTTTGTTCTGTTAATTTCTGCATTCTCATGTGATGGACTGTTCACCTGCGCAGGATGTACTTGTGTCTCGCTCAGTAGTCTCTGAAGATGGGAAGCAACGCAGACACATGCCTATTCTGCCAAATCCTCTTTGTCTATGAAAACCTGCTGCTTAAGCATGATGTTTAAATTAAAACATTGCATTTACAACTTGGTTTCAGTATAAACTTTGATTTATCACAGTGAGGAATGCTGCTTTGATCTCATCTGCTACTTGTTTGACCAACCAAACAGTTTGATGACAGCTCAAAAATGTACTCATCTCTTGGCAAAGTTCATATGTTTTTGGGGATTTTTCCAGTACTTTCCTTAATCCTTCCCAGCATTGCTCAAGGGTGGGGTGTAAATACCTCAACTAGGACATTTATCATTTTATTTAGCAAACACAATAAGAATGTTTAAGCTGAAGTTCGTTCTGTATTTTCCTCTATCACATCAGAAAAGGGAGATAGAGCCATACAACAAGTTTCTATATTAGTTTGATTGACTTTACATAAATCAGCTCTATCTGAGATTAAGCAGTACAGAAATAGCTGTTTTACTCTCCTGTCCCTGAGTTGGGAAAGTAAATCTTTGGTTTTGAATCAAGATTCAGCTGCAGGCATAGCATTCAACTCCACACCTTTTATGTCTTCCTGTAGCCTTACAAACCTCATGAAAAGATGGTTCAGTGTGTTCCTCAACCATTATTACTGCAGCAAGGCTTCAAAGACACTTCGGTGCTTTCTGTCATTGTCAGCCACAGTGATAGCTCTGCAGTTTGTCAAGAAAGCAGTTAGGGAGTTAATGCTTGAGCTGTAACTGCTCAGAGCTGCTCCTCCTCCTGTGTGCCCCTTCTTTTCCCAGTTTTGTCAATGGTCTCTAAATAACTGAGTCTGAGTTTTATTTCTGCTTTTATTAACAACTCAGGAAGAAAAAAATTGTGCCATCATGAGAGAGTTGAAAGACTTGCCACACCTTATGTTATAATCAATATTCTCCTTTTAGACTTAAATGATTACATTTATAATGAAGCTTTAATCTTTGCCCTGATAAACCGATAAAATGCCAAACATTATAATCTGCTTTTCTTACTGGAATTTATCATCTATCAAGTAGAAAGAGCAAAAAGTTAATAAATGAAAATGTCGTGGTGGCAGATTGCTTAAATTACAGAACAAACTCTTTATGACAACTATACCACATTTCAGTTCAGATAAAACCCAGATGTGTGTGTGTGTGTGTGTGTATGTGTGTGTGTGTGGGTGGGGGGGTCTATTTATGGGTAGTTTGTTATGGATCTGTCAGAGAGATCTATATGGGTCAGAGGCAGGAGGATTCCAGTATCCCACTCATCTGACTAACCTTACAAATAAATCTTCAAGCGATGTATTTTGTGCAGCTATATTTATTGTTAGCGTTAGCTTTGATAAGAGCAAAACTAAATGGAAAATGTCTCTGAAAGAAAAATGACTCCTTCCCCAAATTAAGACAAACTCCTCTTCATTAGTGTTTTTTTAAGTTCATCATGAATAATTAAGCTCAGTTTGAATTATAAAAAAAAAAGTCAAGAAAAAAAAGTTAGGAGATTCTTTGAACTACATTGCAAAAAAGTCTTAAATAAATTATTTTTTAAATCATAAGTAAAAGGATTATTAGCCAAATTTATTGTATTTACAGCAAATACTTGAAAGAATAATACAAAAAACCTAAATAGAAAGTAGATTTCCTATTACAGCTAAGACTAAAAGCCCTTCTAGCAACTGTAGCTTTTTTTATATGCAACATTATGTTAGGTGGTTAAATAAACTCTAACTAAATAAAATTAACATCAGTTTCATTTCACTACTGCACCTGTACAAGCAATTTATTTAAGTAATTTTCTTTTCACATTTTTAGAAAACATCATATGAGCCCAGACAATTTGCTTTTCACCTCATAGTTTCAGTGTCCAGAAAATATTCAAGGTATTTAAAAAAACATGTTGGTATGTCTGTAATTAATACTATGTATGTCAGAATTAGAATCTATGATAAAATATCTGTTTAGTGTTTGCATCGCATGTAATCTATTGCTTTTCTTCCAACACTATGATCAATAATTGAACAACTTAAATAACTTTATCGAATAACATTTTTAAAGCTATTCCAATAGTTTAATTTTAGAAACATGCACTTTTTACGTTTATATTTTTTTCCATTGTTTTTCATTTCCATGATTTACTTCTTTCAGATTTCTATAATTCTTAACCTTCCTCCAGGCACAAATGCTGCAAATCATTATTCTTGGTACAAATGTCATAATACTGGAATGTCCTTTTATCGTACTTGTCCTTGGATGAACTAGAAAAAGAAGAAAATATTCAAGTTTTGTTCCATTTCATTTCAAGCCAGAGTCAGAGTATTCATGCAACACTCGCAAATCAATTTAATTTGTTTTATTCATCTTTTATGTCCTTAACTACTCAAGTAGTGCATCTATTTCTAACATGTTTGCTGTTTACTGCATTTTCCAAAAGAATAGTTAAAAGAATTTTTTATTGCAGAACATAAATGGTTGAACTGAACATGCCAAATCTGTTGTTTGTCTCCCTGTTGTACTCAAATTCAGTGTCAATTAAGATTTTCACAACTTCCCATGGAAAGACTGACTTTCAGTTCCGAGACTGAAAGTCTGACTTCAATCGAAGTCTGATCATTTCTTGACTCATATAGGGGTTCAGTTGCAAAAATGGAAAAATATGAGAAGATCAATAAAAGAACACCATATCCACAGTGAAATATGGCGGTGGCAGCATCCTGTTCTGGGACTGCGTTTCTTCAAATCCAGCTTAAGACGTTTTCAAGGTGGATGACATAGAGAAACAATCCTAAATGCAAAACTCTTGAAAACAATGAGACTTTATGTCTTAGGTATTTCACTACTTCACCACACCTGGCGGCATTATTTATTGTCCAAATCAAATACTTCTGCACCAAAAATACCTCCATATAAGAGACAGAGGAAATACACATCCAAAAAGCATTAGTGAGAGGAATGGTCCAGGTCAGAGAAGGGAGGCGGGAGAGGCAGAATAAACCCAAAGTCTTTACCGAAGCAATCAGAATCCTGAGTCATAAGCGGGGTTTCAAAGTCAAAAACAGAATCACTCAAGGTATAAGAGGCATGGCCATGGTCCACTGAGAGGCTGAGACAAGAAAAAAAACAGTTAAACTCACACTGTGGAGAGAGCAAGAGATTATATGGTAGCAGTACAGCTGAGAGCCATCAGCAATCAGGAGGAGCATCGACACACATGAGAGCAATGAGCTAATCAGCAGGTAAAGGAGGGGCAGCGAGCTGAGGAGCAGCATAAATCACAGCAGGAAGCAGGAAAATCGTGACAGGTGTTTACTAGAAAGAAAGCCTTAGAGATTTCATATTCCTGCTTCCATCCAAAGCAGCAAACGAACTATAGGCTACAGGTAATCCACACCTGGTGGATTCTCCTCCTTTATAACTAAAAGATAAAACACTTTTAGTTTTATCTACTCAAGTTTTTAATATTTTTTTTTCTTTTTGTTTTACTCAGGAACACCTGATGCTTGGGTACAATATTTGAACAACACTGAAATTGCATTCACAAAGGTACAAGTACACAGAGTTACAGCCATACATTGTGAATATAATCTAATGAGGATTTGTCTTCTTTCTGAAGGAACTCTTTTGTGACAACACGGTCGATTATCTTATACTTGGCTCAGTTTGGGAGGTTTCTCAGAAGAAAGTTGCATCAAAAATTCATTAAGTGCTGAAACTGCAAAGGAGATATTTTAGGAGATTCTTTGAACTACATTGAACAATGGGAACAGAAGTTTAAAAAAAACTGATCCTTTTATACTGCTGAAGGCTTTGAAGTATATCAGACGAATAATTCATGGCACTCGAAGCGTGAACAGATATACTCAGAGATACTCTTTTTTTATTTATTTTTTTGTCAGGCGGATCCCATTGAGCCATTTAATTTTCATCTAAGTTTTATGACTGTGGGGCACAGCTGCTGAATGGATGCTTAGTGTAACCTATTACTTGTTAATAGATGTAACATTGCCTTAGGGTGAAAAGTAGGGTTAAAGCTGAATAAAGTTACACTTTTCATTTAAATATAATTCTGTGTGTGTTTGGTTGTCATATTCACAAACAGGCAAAAAGTACGTTGGTATAAGCCTAAAGTGGAACCAGCTACACTTTTAATAATTTTGATTTGCTTGTATTTAGTTTGCTTTTGGCAAAGTTTGTCTGGAAGAGGCCATGTTTGAAATAAAACCTCCAAACTGCACAACTGTCCTGCAGCATCATCCTGAAAAACATAATAAATATCTTGAATTTGATCTTCATATCTACAATATATTTTATTTTATTTTTTTTTTTTGATGTGGTGCGAGTCTAAATTGGAACTGTGACAAATTTGCTTGTGCTGCTTCTTATTTTCATTCTTTGCTGCGGGGCCTGTTGCATTCTCTTGGAGTATTTTGCTCAGTGACGCTTGAAAAGCACAGTAGATGCTGACAACAGAAATTGCAAGGGAAAGAAGTCTGTAAAAAGGCTGTAAGGAAAAAGGTCAAGAGATGCAGACAGAAATGTAAAACTGGTACCTTCAAGAAAATGCTAATGATGCTGAGCTCTAACGCAGAATTAAAAATCGAATGCATCTTTTTAATGACAAAACGGATAACCTGTAAGAAAAAAAGCTATTCATGGAGTAAGCAAAATTAGTTTCACATGATCCAACTAACTTTTAAGTAAGCTATTGAGGGAGTTTTCCATGAGGGGCCGTTTAGGACAAAAACTATGTTTTGTCTCACACACTACTAAAAACTCACACACACCAAAATATCACATGTGCATATAATATTTTATTCTGACACACAAAAAAGCCTGAAATGGACATATAAACTAATAAAATATTGCATGTACATGCATTTTTTTCTCTCTCTCGAACACACACACGTCTAAAATTGCACATATACTCTACTAAAATATCACGCACACATACACAGTTCACTCACAGTAAGTAAGTGAACCTCCAAGCGCTTGAGGAGGTAGCAGTTGAGAACGGCTGGCCGAAATTAGCGTTAAAAAATCGGATCAATCTTGAGCTAAACGCCGCTGACAGCATGGAATCCAACTTGAAGTAACTTCACTGTGGTATCAAGGCATGCAT